CAGCCCATGAACACCATCACCATGCAGTGAGCCAGTCCTGGCTGTTGGGAGGCCAGTGAGCCTTTGTGCACCAGGCTCTGCCTGCTGGCCGCCTGATGGCAAGCTCTAGTGTTTTTTTGGGTATGTAATTGCTGCCTAAAGGCAGGAACGGATAAAGCCAATGTGTGTGTAGGGGAGGGACGAATCCTGTGTGACTCCCAACAACGGGGCCACCGATCTTGCTGGCAAGTGTGAGGAACTGAGACCTGGCTGTTCAAAGGGGAGAGTCAGTATGATCCATTTGGATCAGACTGATTCATCAGCCCCATGGGAGTCCTGAGATGGGTTGTTAGCATACAGCATTGCTGACTGCAGACTGGCTGAGGGCCTGTCTGGCAGGGTTGGATCCCAGGACATGACTAAGTGTCGGAATAGGGGTGAGTCACATTAGGAATGGTCATGACAACAATCAGCAAGTGAGAGAACCAGGTCCGGGAATAGATTCTGTGGGGCATAAATGGGCCCAACCCTGTGGAACTACAATCCCATTGGTTAGCTTAAGAGTTGGGGTGGATATGAGCTGCGCTAGGAAATACTATGGAACTCACCAACATTCATGGGTGCTGGGGATGGTGACAGCATGGGCAGGTCCCGGCTGCAGCACCCGCACATGCATCCTACCACAGGGTATGATGTGTGAGGTAGGCCGAGCTACAATATCCTCCAGCTCATACAAAGGCTAAGACAGAGTGGCAGGCTATGCTGGGCAAGGACCTAGCATCTGCTGGAGCATGTGAGCTCTGCGTCATGGAGAGGACCCAGTGGAGAACCTGGGAAACTGGAGAACCTATTGGGGGTCACAGCTCCTGCTGGTGAGCACGTGTTTCATGCCTGGGAATTGGGCAGCCTGAGCAGGGTAACTCCAACTGTTAGCTAATGTGTGGGTTGGCTTTGGAGAGGGACGACAGGGCAGGGCCAAGCCAACCTTACCTCACCGGCAAGGGCAGAAACCAAGCTGGAACACAGGTCAAGTTCAGCTAGGTTGTCACACACAAAAGATTGTATGAGACGGGTAAGGAAGCAGACAGAGCAGGGCCAAGTTCTAGCACCCACCAGTGAGTGGCAAGACTTGGTTTAGGCTAGGTCAGGACAAGCTACAGCATCCAAATACAAAGGTCATGACAGGTGAGCGATTAGGCCAAGCTGGGTCAGAGCAACCACAACCATGTGCAAAATCTATAGCTGGGAATAGACCTAGTGGGGAACTAAGGGGACACCCTGGCTGGGTTGTGGTTCCCACTGGTCAGCACAGGGCTAGAATGGGAGCCATGTTCTGGTCTAGATAAGGCTACAGCATACCTTGGCACACGTGTAGGCTGGGGCTGGGTGTACCAGACTGGGCTAGACCCCAGCAAACACTGGTGCTTGTGAGGACCAGGGTAGGTGTAGGATGGGCCAGGCTATTTTTTTTGTTCCTGATGAGGCAGGTATGAGCTGTGTCTGCGTATGGACCAGGCTAGACTGTGCTGCAATCCAACAATAATAATGGGAATGGGTTGAAGGCTGATCAGGAAAGGCCACTGTTCCTGCTAGATCAGGATGTGGACTGAGTAGGGCTGGTCCATGGACCCACCCATGTGTGCGAGATCTGGCAATGGGAGAGGTTCTGATGGAGGAGCCAAGGAAACTCTTCTGTCAAGACACAGTGCATACAGGTGAGCGCAAGAACTACGATAGGGTGCAGCCCAGACCAGGGCAGGGAACAGCACCCAGCGGCATAGATTGGCGCAGGTCGGGGACAAACCAGGCAGGGCAAATCCAAGCACCAGAAATGGAGTGTGGGTCGGGTCAGTTCTGGTTGCAACGCACACCATATACATTATGTCTTGGACTGGGTGCCGGCTGGGCTGGGTTAGGCTTTAGCCCCCACTAACCTGACTAGAATTGGGGGTGGGCTGGGTAGTGCCAGGCTACAATACCCACTGGCAAACCTGAGGTGAGGCACGCCATGTCAGACTAGCACACGGTGCCCAACCAGCACACGGTGCCCAACCAGCTCATGCCAGACCCAGGGGGGCAAGGATAAAACTGGTTGGGGAAATGTGGAGAGCTCCCCTGCTGGAACACTACTCCCATTGGAGAGCGTGAGTTGGGATGGGGGTAGACCAGACCAGGCAGAGCTACAACACCTGTGGGCCTCATGTGAGCTATATCAGGGAAGAGCCAGGCTGGATTGAGGGCTCCTACTGGTGCAAGCATAAATCAGAGTGGATGAGGGTTGGCTGGGTTTGCCGGAGTATCAGCTGGCAGATGCTGGCACAAGGGGCTACTTCTGTCAAGCTAAACTGCAGTACCACCTGGAAAGCACATGATCCGCGAGTGGGAGTGTCCCAGTAGGGAAATAGTGGGCACCTCCCTCTTGGGTCACCACTCCCACAGGAGAGCAGGAAAACCAGGACTGGGACAGGGGTGGCTAGACAGAATGGCACCCGCCAGCATGTGTGCGGGCCGGAGAGTGGAGCTGGTTGGGTTGAAGTAGGCTTCAATGCCCACGGACACGTAGGAGAATTTAATAGGATGTGGGACAAACTGGACCAGTGTACCATGCATACTGGCAAGCACGGGAATCAGGGCAGGAGGTGGCCTGGCAGGGGTTATTGGGAGTCGCCTTGACTAGGCTGCAGCTCCCAATAGTTTGTGTGAGGGCCGAGTTTGTGGTGGGCAGAATCAGGCTGGACCGCAATACCCACTGATTCATGTGGAAGGGATGGAAAAAGAACTGACCCAGCACAATTGCAACCATCAGCATGTGCACAATTGATTGGGGTGATAGACTTTGCTGGACCCAGTACTGGCATGCAGACACAAGAATCAGGTCTGGGATCACTTCAGACAAAATTTCTGTGGGGATTCCTCCAACTGAACTGCTGATCTCAGAACCCCAATCATGAAGACAAGTGCAGGTCCCATGACCTGACCGCGGAGTAGATATGTCAAAGATGGGCCTCCTCAGAAGCTCAGACCAAGCAGTGGACAGCATTTCCAGGTGTGCATGGAGGATATAGTAGTCTATTGGAACCTGCAGAAGACACTTTGTACCTCAGCAGGATGGAGGACAGAGCAAATCATTATCTACCCCCAGCCATGTATGTGTTGAAGTGAAAATCTGGACTAACGGAGACTCTGGGGTGGACCGTATCAGCCAGTGGATTCTGGAGAGATTTTATCGTGTTTGGAATGGCGAGACTGACAGCAATTCAGATGCACATGGCTGGTCCCTAGTCCTCACACTAGTCAGTGTGTACTGCAGCCTAGCCCAGCCTGCCCTACACTCATTCTGGCTCTTGCAAGTGCCAGCAGTTGCTGGAGCCTAGCCCAAGCTAGCCAAACCCAGCCCACATGTATACCAATGGTTGTTGCAGCCTTACCCAGCCTGGTCTACCACTAGCCCTAGCTCTTGCATTCACCAGTGGAAGCTGCAGCCTAGCAGGGGAGTCCTCAAAGTTCCCCTACCAGGCCCATTCTAAGCTCCTGGACTTGTAATATCCTGTAGGTGCTTCAAACCAACCTGGTACAGTCCAACTGCACTCTCAGCTCTTGCTGCCAGGTGTTGCAACTTAGCCCAACTGGATACAGTCCACACCATGTCTTGGCCCTCGTGCGTGCCTGTGGGTGCTGAGGCCTGCCTCGGTCCAGCCTGCCCACAACTCTGGGCCACTCAAATGTTGATGAGTGTTGCAGCCAGCCCCAGTGATCATGCTTCCTAGGAGAAGCTGCAGCCTAGTGCAGGAGTCCCCTTACCTGTCTTCCCCCCCAGCCCCAGATCACATGCATACTAGTGGATTCCATGATCCTGTTTGGCATGGTGTGCCCTCAGTTCTGGTATTTTCATGTGCCAGCAGGTACTGTAACCTGGCCCATCCTGACATCCTCCCAGCCCTGGCTCCAGTGAGTGTCAGTTGAGTTCCACAGTCCAGCCTTCCTTCATCCATCATCAAACCCAGCTCTCCATGTCAACCAGTGGTTGCTACAATCTCATAGACACGAGCTCAAGGCCCTGCAGATTCTGCTCCCAGAGCCAGTCCTCTAGCACTCTGGTGAGTGCTATGGCTCACCTCCAGCCCTAACACTCATGGGTAAATACTTCAGCCTAGCAGAGACAGGCATGACTTGCAGCTTCAGCTTTTCCATCTGCCAGCAGACGACAGGTGATACAGTTTAGCACAGCTCATGTCTCCCACGTGGGCAGGTGCCTTGCTCCTGATCCAATCATGTCCTCCAAACTTCCCCTCTCCAAACCACCTAGTCTTGGCTCCCTCATCTATCTGTGAGTACAGCGACCTATCTGTGGCAGATCCCTCAAGTCATTCCTTCCCTGTCAAACATGACTTCAGGTCCTCCCAATCCAGCATGCTCCTAGGTGCTTCCTTCAGCAGCACATGTACGAGTATGACCAGACCCAATTCCCTGGGCAATCTGCAGTTCTCCCCCAACCCCCATTCTGAGGGCCGGGATTGTGTATCCCAGCCTGGTCTTCCCCACATCCACACATATCTTTAAAAAGTATAAATAGGTAACTGCTGGCATGCTGGTATAGTTAATACAGATTTGACATTATCCAGCACCAGAGTGCCCACCCGCTGCTGGCTCTTTTGCTCCCGGCAGTAGAACACTTGCCTAGGTGCAATGCAAGCTAGCCAGTTGCCTACAATTTAGAGTTAGGATACTTTTAAAAGGTGTGTATACATCATATGTGAAATAGCATGTCATTAACTTATGGAAGACTGGGACTATTAAGAAAAATAAGGTAAAAGACAATAGAGGAGATAAAATTGAATACTAAAATGTGACCCCATGGAAGTCAGAAAAGGAGAACTCATTGAGTCAGAGAGAAAACAAGGAGTCTACTAAGACTGATACTCGGCTGCATCAGTAACTGTGCAGATGTGGATCAAACATCACCATATTAAAGACAAAACACAAGCATTTCATGATGGCCAAATAGAGGGGTTCAGCACTTACCTCCACCAAGAAGACACAATCAGCTACATGTCAAGGTTGAGTGCCCAAGGGCCAGCACCTGAAAGCAGTAACAGGACAGTGGGTGGAGGGCAGGACACCAAGACACAGCAGCACAGAAGAGGGGAATAAAATCCAGGTAGGAGCCCCAGAGCCAGTGGGATTCCCTCCTACAGGGGAAAGGCTGAGCAAGGGAGCACCCACACAGCCCACCAGTTTGAACCCCCAAAGTGGGCAATACCTGCCCGACAGCAATCCAGTCAGCACAGACCAGAAGCTTGGTAAGGAGGGCTCCCTTGGAAACACAGCAGCTTTGCCCCAGAGAAGTGAGGAACATGTCCTCTCCTGGCACTCAGAGCATGCAGGCTGAGGCAGGGAGGTGCCATTTACAGGAAGGAGGCACTGGTAGAAGCCATGCTATGCTAAGACAGAAGCCTCGGTGTATCTTTCTCTCATAAACCCTGCAAACAGTCCTGCATGAAGAAGACTGAGGCTCACGGGTCCAACAGAGCAGGGGTCACCCTAACATCACAGCTCACACAGCTGCTGCAAATCTCAGTCTAAGGAGGAACCTAGAAGTAGGGGTGCCTGCCCTTTTCTACTCTGGGATCATCCCCTGCCCCCTTTGCCACTTCCACTGACCACTCAAAGCATCACTCATTGCTGCTGAAACATGTACATACTGACACTCAGGGGTCCTTTGTGTTGTACAATTTCCCCTCTAAGACCCAAAGCTGTTTCTGAGTAGGGACACCAAGGGACAGTTTTTAGAGTAGGGTCTGAGCACACATTAGAGTGTGTCCATGTTCTGGACAATGCACATTTGGGAGGGGACATTGGCAGTCACGCTTGATACTGCACCTAGCTTACTCCCAACCACAGAACAGCAAAGGGCCAGCATGGACTGGAGGTGTGGTGCAGCCGTTTAAGCCACCACCTGTGATGTTTGCACCCCATGTGAGCAGGTGTTTGTGTCCTGGCTGCTCCACTTGCCATCCGGCTCCCTGCTCATGTGCCTGGGAAAGCAGCAGAGCACAGCCCAAGATTTGGGATCTTGCAGCCATGGAGGAATCCTGCCTGGAGTTCCAAGCTGCTAGCTCTGTCCCAGCTCATTCATTTGTGGAGTATACCTTCAAACAAGTAATTTTTTTAATGTTTATTTATTTGCATACATCTCCCATGTTTTTTTAACAATCATTTTGATAAATTATAGTTACGCAAATCAAATTCCCTACAGTTCAACAGAGTCTGAGTAAAAATTCCTTAAACAGGACCCAGATCTCATTGCTGTGTTGCTGCAAACCAAACAGAGCAAGCTGAAATGTAAACAGCAGGCTTGTTGTTTGGCTCTGTGCAGTGCCACCTTCCCTAACCAACCAGAACCTCTGATTCTCTGCTTGCAACACCAGGAATAAAAGAAATGGCTATGCTCAGAACTGTTCCAGGCCACTGAGGCAAGGCTGTCATTTGCAGACGATGGCCACTTTCCATTGGAGAGAACTGTGATTCTGTACATGAGAATTTGTCATTTCCTGTTCAGAGTCCCTTTTCCTTCCCACTTGTCAATCGTCTGCAGACTCTATGGGACATTCCCCCGTAGCTGATCCTTCCTACTCTCCCCAGGATGGCTTCTTTCATTCTTAGGTTCATCCTCACAGTCTTGGAGATGGCTACCTCTCAAAAGTAGATCTGATTAGATTGAGCACTTGCTTTTGCGAAGACTATTACTTACTGGGATGCAGCCAGAACTCTTTTATCTTCATGAACTGAGAGCCATCACCCTTGAAGAGTATATTAATCATGCCATCTTATTTTCTGTATATTTGAGGGCTGGCATTGGGGTTTTGCTGACCCTGGAAGGAGTGTCCCTCTTGGATGAACCAGTTCCTCAGATAGTCACTAATCCACCTGCCTTTCATAGCAAACTACCCAACCCAGAACCCACAATGCCACCATTTGCTCCATCTTGTTCCTGGTTGTAGAGTGATTAGGGGACAGAAAAATCAAACAAGTAATCTTAAAACACAAACAAACAAACAAACAAACAAAAAAAGACAGAGTTCTAGTCCAAGTCTCCCTGCTTTCACTAGCCCTGAATTTGGACTAGCTAGAGATTCTTTTTTTTTTTTTTTTTTTACAATCTTTACATTGTTAATTAGGGTAAAAATGGACTAGCTAGGGATTGTAACTTATGGTCTGTGCTTCACTTAAGCCCAGCTTTGGTCCTAAGAGATCCAGACTTTCCAACAGAACTTGGTACGTTTTTTGTTTGTTTGTTTTAATTGGAAAGGCATATCTAGAGAAGATACAGAGAACCATCTTTCATCTGCTAGCTTACTCCCCAAGTGGCTGAAGCTGACCTGATCCAAAGCCAGTAGCTTCTTTTGTGTCTCCCATACGGGCACAGGATCCCAAGGCTTTGAGCCATCCTCTACTTTTTTTCCCAGGCCACAAGCAGGGAGCCAGATGGGAAGCAGAGCAGCCAGCATACAAACCAGCACCCATAGACAATCCTAGTGGATGCAAGGTGAGGATTTAACCTCTAGGGTTTTGCATCAGGCCCAGAAGTTGGCAAGTTTCTATGCCCCTGCAAGGATTCCTCTTGCCTGCAGCTCCAGGCAGGGGATTCAGTACCCACAGACTGTCTCTGTCCCCCTGCTCCCATCTCACCACATGGCCCATGCAGAGTGCCTGGGAATACTTCCTGTTCTGTTGCAGCACCACATCTTTCTCTCAGATCCATCTACTCAAGAAAGCATCTGGGGAACCTGCCTCTCCCAATCAGCATTAGTGACTTTGGGCGTCTATGAGCTCACCCTAGTCCTGGAGTCAGTGCTGATCTCAGCTGTGTTTGCTGGAAGCCTCTATGCCAGGGCCACCTGCTATACCAGCAGGAACTGTTCACAATACCTGAGAAGCTCCTCACTCCAAAACTTCCCTCAGGAAATCACTGGAGACCTGTATGTATCACAGGGTTCCCAGCAACTACACTGGCCCACAGCATCACCCCAGATGAGCATAATAACACTTGAGGAAATCAAAACGTGAGGAGAAACAGATGAAATGCAGAATTCAAAGGGGAGGCTGATGCTGTGATACAATGGGCTAAGCCACTGTGTGTGACACTGGCATTGGTGGGTGGGGGTCTGGAGGAAGATCCTGACTGTGCAGGCTCAGCCCTGACTGCCATGGCCATCTGGGGAATCAATCAGTGAGTGGAAGGTCTCAATATTCTTTCTCTTTGTCTCACTCTCTTTCAAATAAATTAATGACTCCTCAGAAAAAAGTCAAAGCAATCATTATAAGGTTATTCCAACAGACAAAAGAGAATACCGATACACAGTTAAACAAAATTAGGAATCAGTATATGGTTTGAATAAGAAATTCAGCAAAGAGAATGAGACTGAAAAGGAATGAGTAGAAATATTAGGAATGGAAGAACTCAATAAGTCAAAGTTAAAAATACAACTGTTGGGGCTGGTATTCTAGCACCAAGGATCAGGCTGCCATGCAGGCATCTCATACGGGCACCAGGTCAAGTCTTGGCTACCTAGCCTATGTACTTGGCAAAGCAACAGAAGATGACCTGGGAGATCCAAAGGAAACTCCTGGCTCTTGACTCTGGCCTAGCCGAGCTCTGCCATTGTGGCCATTTGGAGAATGAATCAACATATAGGAGACATCTCTCTCTTTCGACCTCACTCTCTCTGTGTAACTTTTTCAAGTACAATAAATAAATTTTAAAGAAAAATAAGTGAGAGGGGGCGGCACAGTGTGAAAAAGTCTTCAGATCAAGCAGAAGAAAGAACAGCTGAACTTGAAGGTATCTTTTGAAATATTGGTAAAAAAGAATGCAACAGTGCGTGATATCTCTTAACTATTCTACACAAGTCAATATTTAAATTTTGGAAGTCTCCCCCAAACAAAAAAAAAAGAGTGGCTCAGAAAACCTAGTCGGGTGCTGGTGTGCTACATGTGACACATCCAATACAGGAGCTGATTCAACTCCTAACTACTCCACTTTTAGTTCCGTTCCACTTATGTGGAAAATCTAGATGGAGTTCTGGGTTCTGGCTTTTATTGTGGCAATTTGTGGAGCAAACCAGTTTGTGGAAGCTCTCTCTGTCTCTTCCTTTCAAACCAACAAATAAAATCTTTAAAAATGAAAGAACCCATTCAATGACACAACAAAGGAAAGCTTCAATTTGGAATATATGGAAACCCACATATATGAAGCTGACAGAATCTCGAATGAACATGAACAGAAAAAAACCCTTATTATGATATAGTGAAACTTTCAAAGGCACAGCACATGGAATTATAAACTGTGTGATTTTTAAATGAACTCATTAAACTGACAGCAGAGTTCTCAACAGAAAACTTAAAAGACCAGAAAAGAATGGAGAGAAAATCTGTTTTGAAATTAAAAAAATTAAAACCTATCAACCAAAAATACGTTTCCAGTGAAGTTTTGTTTCATGAATGAAGTGAAATACTTTATAAAACAAACACAATATAAAGATTTTTTATCACTATCCAATCAGAACTACAAAGGATAATTAAGGAAATATTGTATACAAAAGCAAACAGACGGGCCCAGCAGTGTGGCCTAGCGGCTAAAGTCCTCACCTTGTACACGCTGGGATCCCATATGGGCGCCAGTTCTAATCCTGGCAGCTCCACTTTCCAACCAGCTCCCTGCTTGTGGCCTGGGAAAGCAACTGAGGACGGCACAAGACTTGGGACTCTGCACCCACGTGGGATACCCGGAAGAAGTTCCTGGATCCTGGCTTCGGATCAGCATAGCATTGGCCGTTGTGCTCACTTGGGGAGTGAATTATCAGACAGAAGATCTTCCTCTCTGTCTCTCCTCCTCTCTGTATATCTGACTTTCCAATAAATAAATCTTAAAAAAAAAAAATAAATAAAGCAAACAGGCTACTTTCATTGTGAAAATGTGACTTCTACAGGAAAACAACAAACATTTGAAAAAACAAGAAATTAAGAAAAAAAAACCAGGACCAACTCATTACCAAGTAATTGTACACTGGATGCAAATGG